TCACTCGGCAGGGGCACAGAAATGGCCCGGCGGGTGCCATGGCGCCCACGGGCACCGCGTTGGGGACCACTGGACTAGGACAACAAAAATTATTAGGCATTTGGAACAGGTTCCATATGAAGAGAGATTAAAAAGACTTGGACTTTTCATCTTAGAAAAAGAGAGACTAAAAGGGGATATGATAAAGGTCTATAACTACCCATAAAACAGAGGGGGCCTTAAAAATATCCCACAATCTAACCTCCTGTGAACTACAATGTAGTGCATGAAGACAAAGTCCAATGGAAACCAGTTCTTTGTCTTTGAGCCACGTCCTGCTCCCAGTGAAGTCAACAGCACCTTAAAATCAATAGGAGCAAGACTGGAAACTTTACTGGGAACTTTACCGTTCTTCACTCAGCACGCAGTCAATCTGTGGAACTCCTTGCCAGAGTATGTTCTGAAGACTAGGACTTCAACAGGGTTCAAAAAAGAGCTAGATAGACTCATGGAGGTTAGGTTCATCAATGACTGTTAGCCATGATGGGTAGGAATGGTGTCCCTAGCCTGTGTTTGTCTGTAAATGGATGACAGCAGAGGGATCACATGATGATTACCTGTTGTGTTCCCTCCCTCTAGGACATCTGGTATTGGCTACTGTCAGCAGACAGGATACTGGGCTAGATGGTCCTTTAGTCTGACCCAGTATGGCCGTTCTTATGTTCTCACCTGGCCTCAAGCTGCTGCGGTGAGGGAGCGCTGGGGTTGTCCTCTCTCCCCAGGGCAGCCTGCATACTGAACCCCTCATCCCCAGCCCCACTGCAGAACAATGATTTACATGAACAAAAACAAAACGTGTTTGAGTTAAGGACTTGAACAACACCAGGGCAATCTTCTAGTTCATGCTTAAATATTAAAAAGGTTCTGCCCTATTAGAGCCTGGGGCATTGTAGGCCGCCTACCCTTCAGCTCCCTGGCAAAGGAAATCCCACTGTAGCTTCCTTGCTTGAAAGGAGGGTGGGAGTCTGTTTCCTGGGTGTCATGATGCAGCCATGTGCCTGCCGCTATCCAATGAGCAAAGAGCTGAATCAGGAGAAAGGGCCGTAAGAAGATCCAGCCATTCTCTGCCTTCATCAGCACTCGGTGCGTCCCCATGAACAGCAAACAGGGCCCAGAGCATCACAGATATTTAGGCTCCTAACTTTCATTGAACTCAGTGTGGGTAGGAGCTGAGCTTTGTGTGCAGATTAGGGCCCCAGTCCCCTGCAGTGAATGGAAGGGATGGGGTCAGAGGACCGGTTCTGTTCCCAGCCCTGCCTCAGGTGTTTGAAAATAACATTAACCTCTCACAGCATCAATGTCACAACCATTTATTTCTGCCTGGAAAGGAAGTTCACTAGACATTACTGTACAGAATGCCAAACGACCCATCCCATCGGAAGCACGAGACAGAGCATGCCCGGGATGGTGGTTTTACGGGAGTCATTGGCGCCTCCCAACCATGAAACACCGAGCAGAGAGACAGAGGGCCGAAGCGTCTCTTCCCCTCCGTGCAGTGTCCCACTCCAGCTGGAGAGCACATAAACAACTCATGACGATGATCCTGCATCACTGACCTATCCTCTTCTGCTGCTTGCTGGGCGTCTGCTGTGACAGAGCCGTAGCAGGTCCATATGGATTCATAACTCCTTGAGTCCTGCGAGGGCGATCTTCAAACTCCAGAAGATGGCTCCCTCCCAACCTGCTCCGGAGAGCACTGAAATACAGAGTCGAGAAAAACAAGCTCCACAAAGGGCCCTGAGTTCTCTTCGCTGATAAAGTTGAGGCATTTCTGCAGAAAAGAGAGTGGAGCTGCTGGGTTTTGCCACAGGAGGGAGCCTCTGAGCCAGCCCCTCACGGTTCCCATTTCTTCCTGAAGATGTGTGAATCCAGAGTCACTGCTGGTTGTAAGGTGCCGTCTCATGCTGTGACTGCAGGGACTGATGGAGCAAAGCTAATGCCTGTTGGAACTGGCCTGCCCATGCCCAAGCATTTGACAAGGAGGAAAGGATGTTTTAACCTCTGCTTTCTCCCGAGTCCAACGTCAGAAACACCCCCACACAAGGAATCGCAGCCAGAGGAAGAGTGGGAGATGGTCAGTGGATCCTTTGTTTCTCATAGATCTTGAGTCTCACAGCTGTGGGGTGGGCTCTACCCATGGAAGCAGATCCTCGAGTGGAATACCCAAGGTTCCTGCTTTGCAGCTGAAAGAAAACGAATAATTAGTTTGCTTGAAAGCACGAAGCTTTGGGCTGGCATTGCTCTGGACTCGGGGGTGTATGTAAGGGGGGGTGTGTATAGATCTTTTACACACACACACACACACACGCACACGCACAAAATTTGTGGGCATTTTCACCCATTGCACTGGAATGGGTTACCTAGGAAAGTAGTGGAGTCTCCACCCCTAGAGGTGTTTAAGTCTCGGCTTGACAAAGCCCTGGCCGGGTTGGTTTAGTTGGAATTGGTCCTGCCTAGAGCAGGGGGACTTGATGACCTTCTGAGGTCTCTTCCAGTTCTATGATTCTATGATTCTATGAAAGTGGGGCCCTTTTCCTGCCAGCATTCCCTGGTCAGCAGAGAGCGTAACATACAGCATGCACTTCTGTCACTTAGCCCTGCAGTGTGGGGGCAAGGAGACTTCCCCGTGACAGAGAGGTTGGATCTGGAGTTGCATCTTTCCTTTTTCCATCTTCCTATGTAAGACAGAACTCATCACCCTGGGTTTGCGTTACACAAAAAGGCTGTGTCTACATTGGCATCCCTTTCTGGAAAGTAAGAATAAGGGATCTTCCGGAAAAGGGCTTATTTCCCAGAGAATCGCGTCTAGACTGGCGCTTTTCTCCTGCAAAAACCCCGAGCCGGAAAAAAGCGGCAGCCATGTAAATGCAAATGCCGCGGGGGATATTTAAATCCCCCGCGGATTTGCAATTCCGAAGTGTCTCATTAGCATCCCTTTTCCAGAAAGGGATGCCAATGTAGACACAGCCAAGGAGCTGGAATTCTAGTGACTCAAAAATCAGTAACATCCTAGCAAAGATTGAGCAGATTTCCAGTCCTGACATCACAGGCAACAGACAAGTTAGGTGAGCTAATATCTTTTATTGGATCCATTTCAGCTGGTGAAAGAGATGCACTTTTGAGAAGTTGGTCCAATAAAAGATCTTTCCTCACCCACCCTGTCTCTTGAATATCCTGGGACCAATGTGATGACACAGTCAATGGGAACACATTTAACCCCCCTTCCTTCTCTCAGTATTAACACATTGGTGCAGAAGTATGCGTCACATGAGAGGAGAGCTCCCCAGCATTTTGCACAATTCTTGTGTGAGACGGAAGTGCACTGAATACTCACTCGTTTTGGTGAGCCCCTGCAGTTTATCTGGACAAAAGGGTGGATAAAATCGGCCACAGCTTTGGTGAGGAGGAACGTTCCTTATCATGATGGTAGCCTGCAATAAATTAATCAATAATTGATTTCAAGTGGCAAATGGCGATACAACCAGCAACCTGTAAAACCCACTGTCTCCCCTCCCCTTCCCTCCCCTCCCCTCCAGCCTGGGCCATCTCAAATGGGCCTTCAAACCAATACAGCAGAGCGGACCTGCCAGGTGCCAGTTGTCGTGAGTTACCTCTGACTCTAGCAGCCTCACTCACTGGTACACTGTTATCCCACCTTGAGATCTGAACTCACGTATCCCAACAAGGCAACCTCAGGGTTTATGTAGACAGACTCAGACATGGCAGTTCTCGTTATGCCCCGACAAGCTACTGAGCAATGCTTGCCCTCCCATTGCATCTTCCCAATGTGCCCACTTCCAGGTTCTATTTCCTGGCCCTTGAGCATGACTGCCACCTGTCCTGACTGAGGCTTGGCTGGCCAGGCAGGAGCCAGAGTCAGGAGGCAAGCCAAAGGTCCGAGCTGGGGTCAGACTCAGAGACCATAGTAGGGAAGGCAGGCAAGAACCAGCAGTAGGTTGGGAAAGCAGGAACCAGGGAGAAGTCGGGCAGGCAGGGTCCAATGTAGCAGCCATCCAGGAATTCTCCTAGTTGCACAGACAACTTGGTAGGTCTCTTCCTGGCCCAAACAGGGACTCAGGAATTCCTCCACTCAGCGGAGGGTTTTTTTTGGAGGGGAAGGAGTAGAATCTTCAGCAGCACATAAGTAGAACAAAAAGGATCTGTGGCTATGAAGTGGATATCTGCAAATGTGCAGGTTTCTAGGTACAACATTTGTATCCACATCTGCATCCATATCCCCCCAAATGAGCCGGGGGATATCCGCATTGACATCTGTGGATGCAGATACCTGTGGATATAAAGCAGATATCCACAGATATGCAAGGCTCTCTGAGCATAAGGCCTCAGGACTCCCAGGTCTCCAGTCACTAGAAAAGCAATCAAGTGGTGGGGCAGGATCAGGACCCAGATCCTCATACCATCAGGAATTCAACAACAGCTGTCATTGCCCCTCGTGAAGCTGGTTCCTTTAAAAAGGACACCTGGGAAGACCACTGGCTCCTTCCCACCCGCCACAAGAGAGTAGGGTTTTCTCACTAATTCTCTGATCTAGATCTGAACCTGGGGCCTAGGTCTGAGAGCTCTGTGTGCAGTTACCTGTCAGCTGATACCCTTCCCTCCCCAGCCTCCGGCAGCTCCCCCACTGGGGCACATGCAGAGACCGCCAAACACCTGTTGTACTCTCACCCACTTCTCAGCATATACCCACCTGGTGTGGAGGGACGACGGTGTCAGGGTGCAGCATTGCTGTCTCTTCTCTCTTGCTCTCTCCAGCTGTGCAGTGCATCTTGCTATTTATAGAGCTAACCCGGAAGGAGGAAATTCCGAGCTGATCTCAGCAGTTTCGGGCTGCACCAAAGAAGGCCATGCTACATCTGACTGGCTGGAAGCTGCCCGGATCTGATCCTGCTGCTGCAACTTCTCGTTTTCAGGAGGTTCCCCTCTGCTCCAGATGTGATTCATTTCTCCAGTGCTATTAACAAAACAAGCCCAAAAAATATTTTTAATTGTGACATGGAGCCCACACACCGCTGGCACTGAGGAAAGGATATGACACTGCTGCGGGGTGGGGCAGGGGAAGGGAGGGGGAGAACTGATTCACCCCTTGGTCCCTTGAGTGAGGGTGAAATTTCCTGGGAGCAACTGAAAGGCAGGGACAGAAACACTGACCAGATAGGAAGTGTGGAAAATGGGGCATTTTTTTTGACTGGGGGGGTATTCATAAGATAAAGCCCCTGAGAGTGGGTCACCCTCGGGCTGCTCCTGGATGGGGTGGGTGGGAGGTGAGCTAAAAGGTTTATCTGCACCTCCTGGATGAGCACCCTTGGGAGATGGAGGCATTGCCATTGGGTGATGGTGAAAGTAGGGAGTGAGGGGAGTGCCAAAAGACAGAGGAAGAGCTCAAACCCTTGCCAAAAGGAGGGATGGGGCTGGCACCGTGGTTCTCACAACTCATTTGTTGGGAGCCTTGGACTGCAGCCAGCAAATCTTCCTGGCAGCTGCTCTGACAAACCCGTCTCTCCCACTGCCTCCCGTGGCCCGTCAGCGAGAGCCTGCCTTGGGGAAGGTACGTTGGGAACTCACCGGCCACCTGCAGAGTCCCAGGCTCCCCGTGACCCATCCAGGAGGGAGCAGAGGAGCTGCTCAGGGGAGGGCCACAGCAAATGAAGGTCGCAGCTGCCTCCACTGACAAGAACTGCCTCAGGCGCCACTTGCAACAGCCCCATGTGTCTCCCGAGGCGCTGCCTTGAGCCCCAAGGAAGCTGGGCGGCAGAGGGCACCGATCCCTGCTGGTGAGGCAAGCGCAAACACCAAGGGTGTGTCTAGACTACAGAGTTTTGTTGACAAAAGTGGACTTTTGTCGACAAAAATATACCAGCGTCTACACTACCGCTGAGTTCTGTCAACATAACGTCGACAGAACTCAGCAGTTTTGTCGACGCTGGTAAACCTCATTTTACGAGGCATAATGCCTTCTGTCGACAGAGTTCTGTCAACAGAAGGTGTTATTGCATCTAGGGTTGTGTCTAGACTACAGGGTTCTGTCGACAAAGCAGCTTGCTTTGTCGACAGAACTGAATGTAGTCTAGACGCTCTTTGTCGACAGAAGCTTTGTTGACAGTATCTGTCGACAAAACTTCTGTCGACAAAAGCCTGTAGTCTAGACGTACCCCAAGGCTACGTCTACACTGGCATGATTTTCCGCAAATGCTTTTAACGGAAAAGTTTTCCATTAAACGCATTTGCAGAAAATAGCGTCTAGATTGGCACGGACGCTTTTCTGCAAAAGCACTTTTTGCAGAAAAGCGTCTGTGCCAATCTAAACGCGCTTTTGTGAAAAAAAAACCCCGATCGCCATTTTCATGATCGGGGCTTTTTTGCGCAAAACAAATCTCAGATGTCTGCACTGGCCCTTTTGCGGAAAAGCTTTTGCGGAAAAGGACGTTTGCCTGAATGGGAGCAGCATAGTATTTCCGCAAGAAGCACTGATTTCTTACATGAGATCGTCAGTGTTCTTGCGGAAATTCAAGCGGCCAGTGTAGACAGCTGGCCAGTTTTTCCGCAAAAGCAAATGCTTTTGCGGAAAAACTTGCCAGTCTAGACACAGCCCAAGGCAGCACGTCTGATTGCCCTTGGTAACAGCTAGTCAAGAGCAACAGCTGGGTGCTGCAGGGAGGGGTGCTACTTTGCCCCCTCCCCCCTCACTACATGTCCTCCTGTGCTGTCGTGGCCTCAACAACCTCCACTTGGGGCTGCATTGGAGAAGCACTGCTAGGCAATGCTGAAGAATAATGCACTTGTGTCAAGAGATGGCACAGCCTGTGTGTCTCTTACCCCCACCACAGCTCCACGGTTGGCTCCAAAGGCTGGGGGGCAGGGGGCGGGGAGAGAGTGCAGCCATTCCAGTTCACAACTCCTTTGTGGACAGAGCATGAGGTGGGGGGTTGTGTGTGCACCTGCCCATCCTACTTCCTTCTCAGGCAAACAGCTTCCTGCCCCTTCAGCCCACACAGTGAGCCCATAGTGTGAGCCCTGTCGGCTGGTTTTCATTAAGTGGAATGGATGTTACAGGCGCAGCATTTCTCTGGTGCAACCCTGGCTATTTCCCAAGAAGGTGCCCAGAGCCTTGTTTGCCTGAGCCCAGTGCGAGCAAAGAAGAGCAGGCAGTTTTCTTGCTCTCCGTTTCCAGCTCAGCCCCTCCACCAATCTTGTGCCCAAGGAGCTCTCTCCGTCCCTCTGCTCCCCCATAGCGCCTCTCCCTTCCTCCCTTGCTTTCTGCCGGTTTTTCCTCTACACATCTCGCTCCTCTAGCTCCCACACTCCTGCCTTTTCATCCAGGGAAATCCCTCAGAACACTTAGGGATTCATGATGCAACCAGTTGTTGTGCAGTAGCTTCACTTGTCTCCAGCTGTGTCACCCCAGCCTGGGGCTTAATTGCTCCTTCCGCTTAACCTGAGAATAGCTGGTTAATGCCTCCCTCAGCTCTAGCCATGTCCGTGATTGTCTACAGATCAAAGACTAGGTTGATACTTGATTGCTGCCATTAATACCTTTCAGCATCTTCACTGAGATGCCTTCCTCAGGCACTGGGAAGGACACAGTGCTGAATCCCATTGACTAAAAGACGGGGGTTTCATTTGTCTTTCTCTAGAAACCTGGATGGGAAAAGGCCTCTGCTGGGGCTGACGTGGGGAAACCCCTTCTCTTGGTCCTGGGCACGCAACAGCGGGATGTTGCACAACAGCCTGATCTGTCTTGCCACACAGTTGGGCTCAGCAATGTGACCACCCACACGGAGGATGCAATCTTCAGAAGTGGGAAGCTAGACAGCAAGGCAGTGGGACTGGGAGAATCCCAGCCACAGAGGCTGTGCTTCCTCACTCACTATGGCTCAAGCTGGGAGGAGCGGGCCCAACTAACCCAAGCCTGGGGCAATCCACCAGCATGCCGACATGCAGGAATTTTCAGTATGATTGCACGAGCTTGGTTTCACTCCTGGGTGTGCAACCAAGAGTGACCCAAATTTGTGACTAGACAACATCTGACCGTTGTCCTATACGGTGAGCAGGGGGCCCCGCTGAGAGCCTATGAGAGAAGCGGCCATTTCACTAATATCACTGTTACATTGGCTACCTTTGTCGGTGGCCTTAGCCAAGAGACCCAGGACTCACTAGGCCCCAAGAGTGACTTCTCACCCCCAAGGGGGGGTGGACCTTGGCAGAGTAACTAGGAAGCCTTCGCTGCTATTGCCTCTGCTACGGGGCATGAGTTCAGGGGAGAGGATTTCAGATGCTGCAGCTGTAGAACCTCAGCCTGCCTTTCATCAGCTCTTAAGCCAAATGTGTGTGTGGTTCTGGTCAGCGCTGGGGTGAGAGATAGGAGCTGCTGCAGAACCAGCCCCAGGAGGGACCTGCTGCACTAGGAACTAGGACCCAGATGGGGCCACCCCTCTCTTCAGCACCCCTAGAACTCTTCAGGGGAGACTGACACATACTCTGGGGGCACTAGGACCCATGTGGTACCTCCCTCTCCACTTGGCCTTGGAAAAACTGCAAAAGGCTTGTTACTAAAACCGAATAAAAACCTGCAAAAATGTGGCTTGTTTCAGGTTTATTTGGCTTCTTAGGACTTTCGCTTGTTGTATCTTCTTATCTTTTTTTTTTCTCCCCCCTTTGGCTCGGCTCAGCAAGCAGAGATAAGGGGATGGGAGCAAAAGCAAGGGGGGAGAGTTCAGGAATGCACAGCAGGCTCACCACACTCCCACACTGCACACCAGGGGCATCTAGTCACATAGAGTGTGGGGGTCTGCTTGGGATTGGCTTGTTTTGGCCTTGTTGTGAAACGGGATTAGCTTTTTTTTTTTTCTTTTTGCCTCTGGTGAAAGTTGTGTAGCAAGAAAGTTGGCAACAGTCTGACACTCAGGGATCTTTCTACTGTTTTGACTGGACATTCATTGCTGATGGGCCCCACCCTTCCCCATAGTCTCTTCCCCCCGCTACACTCCACAACTGCCCCTCCACTCCTCTCCTGCCCTTGCGCCTCTCCTTCCCGTTTCTTTCCATGTAGTTTCTCCTCTCCTAAGTCACCCACCAAAACCAAATTGTGGCCCTAACACCATGCTTGCTGCTATCCCATCTGTCATTACTATAGAGAACTTTCTGGGTCTCTGGCTGGTGAGTCTTGCCCACGTGCTCAGGGTTTAGCTGATCGCCATATTTGGGGTTGGGAAGGAATTTTCCTCCAGGGTAGATTGGCAGAGACCCTGGAGGTTTTTCGCCTTCCTCTGTAGCATGGGGCACAGATCACAGCTGGAGGATTCTCTGCATCTTGGGGCCTTCAAAGTATTTGAAGGCTTCAATATCTGAGCTATAGGTGAGAGGATTATTCTAAGAGGGGTGGGTGAGATTCTGTGGCCTGCACTGTGCAGGGGGTCAGACTAGATAATCATAATGGTCCCTTCTGACCTTAAAGTCTATGAGTCTATGAGTCATTCTGGGTATGTCTACACTACATGGTTTAACTTGGCACGCTAGGCCACAGACTAATTCGCCTATATGGACGGGCCACCCTGTTAGTAAGCCCAGGCTGCTACAGGAACTGGCATTAGCAACTCGGCCACTGTTCTCTCTCAGACAACACTAAACATGGGCCATGGCCGTGCTATGCTGCGACTGGTGGCATCTCCCAAACAAATGAGGAGATACTACCAAATGTACATTCTCAAATGTAATGAGGAGGTACTACCAGCTATATTCAGACAAACTGTGGGTGTTAAAAGCTCACTTGGCACGTTAAGGAACAGAGAAGGAATTAGCTCCAAGGTCCAGGTTTGGGATCTTACCTTTTACCACTATCTGCTGTTTTGGCCGGCTACAGTATTTTTCCTTTCCTGCCCAAGAGGCTATATAGTACGGACGAACTCTGTTAAACCAGCAGCCTGCCGAGAGCTGCTTTTCAATAGTAGAAGCCAAAGTGCCTATAA